GCCATCGTTTGGGGGAAGTCGGCTCTCCCCGAAGCCCTCTGTTGCTTCAGTCTAGGTCTCAGGACAGTGCAGGGTTTCATGCGGCAGTGAAGGGGTGTATTGAGCTGTGCAAGAAAAAGTTGGTTACTTTTTCACCAAAAAAACTTTTTATTGAGCCTCGAAGCATCCCTAACTTTGCGTGGTCCTTTGTGGTAGCTGTAAATTGCGGTTAGAGGGACCTGCATACGGGCATGACTTCCGCGATGTGGCATTGAGTGTTGTCGGCACTTGCTAGGAAGGGGGTTTGGGGCTTAGGGGCAGCAGCCCTAAACCCTAAAACCCTAAACCCTAAACCCTTACTTCAGCATGTTTTATACCCTTTGCTCTGGTCGTCTATGGGTAATCTAGTGTTATCTTCGTATTGAGCATACTCCACATCGGTCCCTGATTTACTCGGCCAGTACACCCTAAGAAACCACTAACCCGCGCCCCGCGCCGGCAACATGGCACTGTCAAGCGGACTGGACATGCTAGAAGATGTATGAGCTGCATGATAACTGCCTGTGATGGATTGCATGGAATTTACAGCTGCATCTGCATGGCCTCCGCTGCCAAACGTTTACATGTCTGCATGGCCTCAGCTGCCAAATGACAAAGAGCCTGAACATGTGAGTCTGCACGCTGGGTGTATAATATGGGCAGAAAGACGGCTGACCAAAGAGCTTACTATGACCTCTCGCTGTGAGAACAACCCTGCTGGTTTTCTGGAATTTGTTTGCATGAGGCAGGGATCTCAGCGATGTGGCCGATGCCTGCCCAAGTCACTGACGGCGACTTCCCCTATGGATAACTGCATGAGGAACGCTTTGCCATACATATTCGGAGGCCATCCCTCCAGGAATTTATTGCATGATGACAAGCACAACATGGGGAAGACATGGCTGACCAGACAAAATCGAGGAGGACGGTCAGTTGGCCTACATTATATGACTGCAAGAGATTGCATGAAGGGCTCTTGAAGATGAAGTATGAATTCATAACAACCTGCGGCCCCAACTCTGCATGCTTTTGCCATTAGCGCCGTTTCGGCTGCTCTGGCAGATATGTGAATGAGCTGGAACATGTGACGTCGTCTGCCATGAGGTGACTGGATATGATTGAGTGCGATGTACGCGTTGTGCTCAATCATGTCCAGACACCATCCAATGAGCTAATTCATACACTGAGGGGTGCATGCTAGAATTTGTTTAAAGTCAAGCATCGGGTCATCATACTGCAATGTAGTTATATCGTCCTGTGGCTACGGGGTGAAATTTCTCTAGTCGAGTCGGGCAAATAGTCAAACCATATGTAGGTTGCTCCACATACTCCAACAGTTTCACCTTTGTCATCGATAGTGTCAGAATTAGATGCTCGTAACGTCGGTAACAAGCTGACTTTTGGGGATCGTCAAGTGTTTGATCCCCACAACAGATCGCAGTGCCTGAGTCAACCCGGCTCTTCCCTGTCGCATATAACTACTGAATATTGTAGGGTCTGATCCCTATACCCCTGACCCTGAGCGATCTGCCGAGTATACTGCCTTGGAGTCCGAATGTCCCTGATGCTTCAACTTGGATTCCAAGGAGAGGTTTCGCAGACAGGTACAGTTACTTTACGTGTTGATAGCCTTTGTTGCTGAAACGTAGTGACGAAGCCTCTTAGTGTCGTTTCACTTTGCAGACTCGAACTCATATGCCTCGCCTGGTTTGTCCGAGTGTGAGCGCCGAAACCCTAAACCCTAAACCCTAAGCCCTAAAGCCCTAAAGCCCTAAACCCTGAAACCCTAAACCCTAAACCCTAAAACCCAATCTCTCCATGCCGATTACGGTGCCGAGGTTACTTCGACCAAACCTTGGAGTGCCGCCAGCTCCTCCAGCCTCTCGGATCGTATGTTTAAGCCTTTCGGGGGTAATTCAGGGATGTTTAGGGATCATATACCTCATTATAGTTATAATGTAACGAGCCCTAAAACCCTATTCTGGTGCCCTATAGTAACTTATTCAGTCTGTGCACAAAGGGTTTGGGGTTTGACTCCAACCTCCGACCTCGCACCGCAGACGCGAGGCCGCGAACTAAAAGTTCCCCCCGCCCCTCACCCCCAATGCTTTTTGCCTTACGGAAAAAGATCATAGTAGTTCTATTAATAGCAACAGTCTATTCGCAATTCTCATAAGTAATATAAACAGTCATGATGGCAATCCTAAATCATAATAATGCTTATGTTTTTGTACCAGCCAGACGACGTACTGCCTATAATTAGTCGCCATCGTAGCTTTTTTTGATAACCAGTTTTATAGTAATACAGTTTTTTGTTAACCAAAAAAAAGGAACTGCAACGGAGACTTTAGATGGAGTCCGAGACCGCCTGAGACCCAGGACCCACCACTTGCCAAGCCTCCATTGCGAGACGCTTGACACGCCACCCAAAAGCTGAAAAGCAGAACCTGGCCCAGAATCCAAAACCCAAATGTTTAGGGTTTAGGGGTTCAGGGCGTGGGGTTACGATAGGGACTCGTTCAGAAACGCAGGAGGCGAACAAGAAGAGGGTCTCGCACGGTCAGTATTCGTATCGCTTATAGTCTTGGTAAAGTCATACTACAACAGCCCCCAACGCCCAACCTGAAACCCAAAACCCTAAGCCCATAATTGTTCTAGTTAGGCGCCCTGTGCTCGACACGTCAAGGAAGGATTCCGCCAGGGAGAAAACCTCCTCAAGCAGCGCGCCTGCCTCGGCCCGTGGACGTCCTTCTGCCGACAAGGCTTGGGTTTAGGGTTTAGGGGTTTAGGGTGTTATGCTTAACTTCTTATTCAGAAGGTGTAGGGTTTAGGGTTTAATTAGGGTTCAGGGGTTAGGGAGCAGACGTACGGCAGATTTGTCTAGAAGGACTGTAGGGTTTACAGGTGAGGGTTTGGACTCCAGGGTCCAGAATAATGATTTTGCAGGGGTTTTGGTGTCGACGGTTCCACGAGGGATGCAACCCTAAACCCTAGCCCCTAAACCCCGAAGCCCCCAAAGCCCTAAGGCTTTACACCCTACATACCTAAACCCTCAAAGCCCTGAACCGTTTCACCTCATTTGACCACGTACCAATAACCTCGCCTGGCTTGTCCGAGAGTGGGCGCCGAAATACCCAAGCCCGAAAACTGACCTTTTCCAGGAAGTATATACAGAAACCATATTAAAAAGAGCCTCACAAGGAACAAATTGTGGGCTAGAGGTAAAGCCTTGATGACCAAACACCCAAACCCTAAAACCCCAAACACCGAAACCCTAAAACCTAAACCAAACCCCTAAAACCCCCAAACACCCAAACCCCTAAAAATGGGGGGGGGGGATGCCGCAGGCCTTCGCAGCCCCAGTGCGCCGCGCAGCGACGCCGCGCGGTAGGCCGAGCCGAGCAAGGGATGTAGGGTTTCGGGGAGTTTCGAGGGTTTACGGCAGTGTTGGGGTTCAGGAGTTTGGGATTCAGGGCAGTTTAGGGTTTAGGGCAGTCTAAAAAGTGTTTAATTAGGGGATTCTTTGGGGTTAGAGATGTGGGAATGCAGGGAGATGCTGGTAGGTTCCGTGCTTCATCGCGGATTGAGCGCTTGAGTCTCTGAGTGGCTGCTTTCCTTTTCCATGAGCGCATTGACCATACTTGGAGGATCATGGGACTTAGTAAGTAGGGTTATAAGTACCTTAGTTGGGGTTTTAAGTAGATATAACTATAGTTGCCTTACTTATAATCCTACCATACACATTCAGGTGTGCTTTTGAGGTGTATATACGTCTTCGCTGACTTCTGCGCATGTCCGGGTGCATGTACGCATGCATTGAGTCGCTTCGGTATCTAGGTATGTAAAGTCTTTTTTGCGAAACGTGAGTTTCTTCGTCTATGCGCCTGGTGCAACCACTGCCGCCTTCATCATCCGGCAGTAATTCCTTCAGGTGACTTTGCTAATATGAGGGCCTTAGTAATTACCTATACTATTTTGGGGGTTCCTTGCTATAGTTATAGTAGAATATACCCCAAAACCCTATTCTAATTGTGAAGGCCCTACATTACATGTATCCCTGGGTCTGTGAAGAGCTGCGTCCATGCAGAAGTCCACCTGCAGTACTCTACACACGTTCAACTCACCGCGGCCATAGCGCATGAAGAAGGGCTAGGAGTCGAACTTCTGATGAAGGTATATCTGGTCTCCTTCTGAGTTATTTTAGCCTTTTGAATGGTCCTTGCTAGGAGACTTACCCTACATTCCTGACATCAGATGAAGGAGCAAGAGGCAAGTCTCTAGTGGTTCGGTGGTGGGAGGTGGAGGCACCCTGCACCCCAGGGCTGGGTATGGAACAAGGGTGTCAGTCTGAGCTGCTTAGAGGACCATGCGACTTAGTAAGTAGGGTTATAAGTAAGGTAGCTATAGTTTTATCTACTTATAACCCCAACTAAGGTACTTATAACCCTACTTACTAAGTCCCATGATCCTCCAAGTGCAGATTGTAGACTTGTAGTATAGGGGCCTCAATCATGGCCCATACTGTTTGGGGGGGTGCTTTCTTAATTAATACAGCCACAGTATGATGGGCTCCGGAACCCTATTCTAACGAGTAAGGCCCCCTACTTGGAGGATCATGGGACTTAGTAAGTAGGGTTAAAAGTACCTTAACTGGGGTTATAAGTAGATAAAACTCTAGCTACCTTACTTATAACCCTACTTACTAAGTCCCATGGTCCTCTAAGTAGACCCTAAACCCTAAACCCCTATAGATCCTTTAAGGAACCCTATAGATCCCTTTAAGGGGCCCTTACCCCCCTATATTAGACTTCTGCTGCAGGGCTCCAGGTCTCTCGCAGTAGAAAGACCTCCGAGTCACCCCTGCGTTCTCGAACGCAACATTCGATCTTCCTGAGGGACCCTTGGGTATATAATGGCTACATTAAGGGTGTATACCTAGGGGTCCTTATTAAGGGTCCCTCCTTTTACCTTTGGATAGGGACATGGTGGAGACTGCGATCCCAGAGCTCCACGTCCCTTCGGAGAAGTCCGATATTTCGTCAGATCTTCTGAGAGGAGTTCCGTTTCACTCGTGCCTGAGTGGTACAGGTCGGCATTGGTGCCATCCGGATAGCTCTTGGAGACCGAAGGCGAGCCGGCACAGCGTCAAGCAGTATGACGTGTTTTTCAGCCATGATTGGAAGAGTGGGCGATGGAGCAAGCATCTGTCACTGCTGGTGGTCTTCAATGGCATGCCTGCTGCAATAGCGGGCTGGGCATCAAGCTTGGCGATGGGCCTCTCTGCATGTCTCGGCTTTCTGCCCAAATCTTATCACGTTTGGATGCCTGTGTTGGGCTATGTGCTGTCATTGGTCATCTTCTTCTTCTGGCAGCATGTGCGGCAACTCTTTGCTGGGCCCACATTTGCATTTATTGACAGTATGTGCATACCACAGGATGACGAGGTGCTGAAGGCACGATGCATCCGGGGATTGGGTACCTTCCTGGAGAAGTCGGAGCAGCTAGTTGTTTTATGGTCGCCGCAATACTTCCGTCGATCCTTTGTCTTAGTTGGGCAACATTTTACAGTTTTATGGGTACTTAACACAAGAAGGAATCGACATATGGATTTTATGTGCTATCCCAACCATGGACCAGGATTGTGGTGCTCGTATGAGATGGGGTTCTTCCTGCGGGAGAAGGGCGACGCGAAAAAGATTCAGTTCGTGCCCGTCCAGATTGGACGCATTTGTGCATGCCTCTTTATGGGGGTGCTGCTCTTCCAAGCCACGATGTATGCTGTAGTCTTTGGGGGCAGAGAGTGGGATGCAATGCAGGCGACGGGCATCATGGCCCCTGCATTGCTGCTGCAAACGATTGTTGTATTTCCAGTTCTGCAATACACCATGACAGCCATGCTTAAGGACCTATCGCAGCTGCCGAGACAAGTCAGCGAGTTTCGCGTGCAGGACTCTGAGTGCACGTGTTGCACACAAAAGCATTGTCACCCTGTGACTTAGGGGTACTTAGAAACATTTTTAATTTTTGGTTATTATAATTCCTAAGAAGCAGCTATTTTTTTTTTTTTTTTTAAGTTCAGTATAGGTGACACATGCACCCATTGCCTGTGACCGCGAGCTGATCTACAAATCTCTTCGTAGATCATTCGGAGCTTCCGGCAGAAAGATGGAGGAGGAAGCAGCGCTCGATGCATTCAACGGCCATGTGCGTGAGACGCTCGCACGATCAATCGACCGAAATTTCAGGCATCACAGCATCTGGCTTGTCCTTTGGGATCTGTTTTAATTTCCCCTACTATTTTGTAGAGAACCAAAATAGTAGATAATTTTCAAGTGGCTTGACAACTCAGGCATGGTTTTGAGGCACGGGCTGGTCACCTGTGCGATCGCTTGTGCCCCGTGGGCATCCCTCAACATGGCCATTGCTGGTGAGCTGTCCGCGGCGGGAGAGATTGACATGCTTTCGTGGTTTGGAGGATTCATATACATCGACGCCGCGCTCTTTTGCTTGATGCGGATCGCTCTACTGATTGGCCATTTCGGCGCATTTCGGATGGCGAAGTGCCCGCAACCAGTTGTCGTCTTGAGTCAGGTGGTGATGTTCTCCTTCAGTGCGATTGCGATACTTGTGCCCTGGCCAGTGACCTGGGTTTTGTCGTCTCATACCGGCCACTCCTGGATTTGGATCAGTGTTTTTACTGCAATGCTCTGCCTGAGCGGCTGTTTCCTTTGGCCGGCTTGCAGCGGCCCATCTGGTACACCTGTGTTGCAGCCCGATCTGCCAGGTACAACCTATGGAAGTGAGACACTTAGATCAATTTAGATCCCCAATACCTAACCTTTAATCTTTTTGGGCTCTTATACTTCAGCAGGAATCGGAAATTTTAGCCTTTTATTTCTGTGGCTTATCGGGGTAGTAAGGACACTGTCAGCTCGTGATGAGGACGAAGGTTCGACCTTCGAGATCTAACTGTTCCGACTCTGAGCGCCTCAGGGTGTAGGGGTTTGGGGTTTTAGGGTTTAGGGTTTAGGGTTTAGGGTTTAGGGTTTAGGGTTTGGGGTTTTGGGAGGCTCTAGCAAACCCTCAAGGGGCTTGCTATAGAGCACCGTTCAATGGGTAGGATCAAAACCCGCGGACCTCGGGTGTCTGGGAACTTTTCAAAGTTTTGGGAAGCTGCAGCAGATGCAGTTACTGCAGGAGCCTAAATAGCTAAATCTTTCGGGGCTCCTCCCTAAACCCTAAACCCTAAACCCTAAACCCTACCCTAAACCCTAAACCCTTATTATAAGTACCTAGAATAGTTATATACCACAAAAACACAATTCTTCGTTTTCGGGCCCCTGCGCGAATCAATCTCAGTATGTCTACAGCATGTACAGTGCCGCGGCATGATTCTTGTCAAGCTCTCTCCTCAGGGAGCCGAACTATACTCATAGGGGACCCTTAGGCGGGGAGGGGGTGGGGGGTCGGGCGCTGCACTTCCTGTAATGGGCCTTGTTCAGTCCCGATTATAGGTATTAAGCCCTAAGGGTCCTTATGACTATGCTAGGTGTCAAACCTAAGAGCTTAACGGATCGAGAATTTTTCGGCCCTTGTTGAGGATGTAGATGCCTTCCCGGAAGCAGGCTTCCAGTTCGGCAGTTTCTTGTCTAATTTCTCTCCGAAGGAGACGAACCTGCTGTTGACTGCCAGGTGAGTCCCCTGAAAACAGTGTCCTTTATAGACAAGCCGGAATAGCTACCAAAACTCTCTTTAAGGATAGTTTTAGCATGAAGTGTTCCAAACCGCTTTATGGTACAAGATACCCGCAAACCCGATTATAGCACAAGATGCCCCCCCAAACCCTAGTACAATACAAGATATCCCCGAACTCTACATTTTAGCACCAGATACCGTAAAATCCTAACACGCTGTTAGAGTACAAGATACCCCCCAAACCCTACATAAACCTTTGAGTGGGGATAATATTACAGATCGGATCCTGCATGTCCAAGCATTCGTTTGTAGGACACCCCAGGACACCTATCCTAATTCACAAGGCCCCGTTGTTGGATCTACAGTACAAGCCAGAAGGGTTGGAGCATCATGATCCTGGTGCTCAGAGGAAGAAGTATATTTTGGGAGATACCATCACGAATCATGCAAAATCCACGTGTTGCAACTTTCTGGTGTTTACTATGTGCTCGGGCTGGTGACAAATCTTGGGTTCTGGCTTGGGTTTGGAATAGGTTGTTTCGGTTTTAGGGTTTTATGGTTGGTTAGTGTCAAAACCGAGTGTAAGTGCAGTTGGTTAGACCTTTCGTCGTGGGGGCTTTTCCTGCCTAAACCCTAAACCCTAAACACCTAAACGCCAAACCCTAAACCTGAACCCCTGACCCCTAAATCCTAAACCCTGAACCCCAAACCCTGAACCCCTAAACCCCTAGACCCTAAACCCTAAACCCTAAACACCTAAACCCCACCCCAAAAAGTCCGAAACCATGAGCCCGAAAAAAAGCAAACACCTGGGAGGCTGCCGCCGCTCCCGCCGAAGCGTGCGCAGTCGGGGCGGCGCTGGGAAAACTTCTGGCAGGAGCGAAGAGGGGAGGATTCGCGCCGAAAGCCAAGGAATGTACGCGCCTTGATAATAAGACTAGGGTCTTGGGATTCCTTGCCACAGTTAAAGTTGTGGTAGAATAGCCCCCATACCCTCTTCTAATTATTCAGTCTCCTGCATACTTGAGTTTAGAGTTCAGGGCCTTAACCTAGGCTTGAATGACTGTTAGAGTCTGTTGGAGGCTTAAACTCGCAGAATTCACGGAATCTCCTTGCATAATAGGTTTTGGTTTCTAAGCAGACCCACAAACGGCGACACAGACATGGATGCCGATGTCTACACTGAGACATTTAATTATTTCTGGATTTGCAGTCTTCCACTCATTTCTGTGATGTTTGGGAATCGGACAAAAAGCCGCCCACAGCGCTCCACGGAAAGTGAGGAGTGGGACGACATGGACATGGATCTGAATGTGGAGTGAGGGCGAGAAAGTGCATGAAACAGTACTTGGAGGATCATGGCGCTTAGTAAGTAAGGTTATAAGTACCTTAATTGGGGGTATAAGTAGCTATCAGTATAGTTACCCTAATCATAACCGTCATAACCCTAGTTACCAAGCCCCATGACCCTTCAAGCACGGTGCGCAGCACTCGGCTGCATCGAAACCGCCAGGTCCCGTGGTGGTTGTTCGGCTTAGGGTTTCTGGTTTACGGTACGATTAATACATTTGCATGCTGTCCATTATTTAGCTTCGCGGTGTGTGTGTGTGTGTGTGCCAATTTTGCAGCTCTTGGGATCGCATGCCCGTCAGTTGTGAGTTTCTTTGCATTGTGCCTAGGGTCCAGTGTCGAGCCCCCGGGTGTAGGCCAAGTTGCAGCCCCTTCGATGCAAGCATGGCTTGGGATTGAATCGACTCCTGCCCACATGGGGGTTTCCGAAAATAGGGGACCCTAATATAGTAGCTTAAATAGTAGGATCCTTATTATAAGGACCCCAAAGTAAGGTACCCCTAATTTTCGGAAACGCCCACATCAGTTTTTTTTGTCAAGTCTCGACTTCAGACCTTGCATGGACTTGTCCTGGTGTAAGCATCAAAAAGCCGCAGGCCCGAAACTCTGCAGCCTAAACCTTCAGCCCTAAAACGTGACTCTCAAGCTTTGGGGACCTAAATGGGCCCTTGTCAAAACTAAGGTCCCTTTTTGGGTACCCTAAGTAATAGTTGCCGTATTATATTCAGGACCAAGAAAGGGACCATAGTTTTGACAACCACCCAAAGGGGTGGAGTTTCTGCAGAGCCGTTTGCTCCCTTGGCCAGGAGCTCACCAGCACTGAACCAGCCATCCTGTGTCTGGACAGATCTGGGCGTTTCCGAGTATAGGGGCACCTTATTTGGGGGTCCTTATAATAAAAATCCTACTATGCAAGGTACTATAGTGGGGTCCCTTATTTTTCCCATCTATGGCTGGGTTGTCCTTTGGGATCTTTTTTAATTTGCCCTACTATTTTGTAGAGAACCATAATGGTAAAAAGAATTCAAAGGGCTTAAAGGACAACTCAGACGGGGGTTCACTGTTTAGACAGCTGCTGGTAGGAGCCCAAACCAGCCCCCAAAAGCCCAAGCTTCAAAAACTTACACAGCGGTTGAGGATTCCGATAGTGTATGTTTAAAGTAAAAGCCAGAAAGTTGGAATATGATTATCCTAAAGCCTTTATGGTAAATTATAAGGTATCCTACCCTGAAACCATATTCCAACTTTCTGGAGTTCCCTGTAGGGCTTAGCGTTTAGGGTTTAGGGTTCGCCTTTGAAGGCTTGGCTTGTTGAGAGCCATTTTTTAAGGGTTTTGGGGACTGCGGGGCTCTAGGGTCTCGGATTCCAACCTTTGGGTGTAAGGGTTGAATTACATTAATTAAAATTAATATAACAATAATAATAGTAATAATAATACTAATAGTAAAAAGAAAATAATAGCAATAACAGCAATAATAGCAGTAGTGATAAGAAAGCAATAGTGGTAATAATAGTATTATGCCCTTACGTGCAGAACTGCGCAGCAATCAGCACCAGGACCATGGCTCCCTTGGCACAGGTCGCTTCAGAGGGCGGAATTTTGTGCTTGGGATTGTATGGGATTGTTGGTTTTGGGTTTTACGGCTTGACGTTTCGAATGCCTGAGAGAGAGAGGGCTTGCGTAGGGTTCGCCAAAATTGAGGCTTTGTGTTCAGGTTCCTGTTGATAAACCCGTACTGAAGCTTCCCAACCAAATCATGCTGCATGTTTCACGTCTGGCTCCATTGTCGCCTGGAGCAATCTCCTCCAAACAGCCTTTCTCCATGGAGCCAACCTTGCAAAGAAATCCACAACAGGCTCAGACTAGAGTGGAATGCCTGCCTAGCAACCAAGACAAAACTCAGCATATTGAAGAATAAGCCCAGATAATCACCAATGTAGTTCTTCAGGATTCCTTACGGAAGATCTGGTATACTATACTCCACAACCCCATTCTAACAATTGAGGCTTCCATCATGCTCCGGCCCGATTTAGGATCCCTCCTTCGAAGGATTGGATGGACCTACTTAGAGGACCATGGGACTTAGTGAGTAGGGTTACAAGTAAGGTAACTGTAGGTATATCTACTTCTAACCCCAATTAAGGTACGTATAACCCTACTTACTAAGTCCCATGATCCTCCAAGTGTTCCCGAAAGAACCCATTACGAAATAAACGCCGGTACTGCCAGTCTGTACTTTTTTCCCCCGGGTTATTTCAAAGCCCTGCTCGCTACGTCCTAAATTCCTTAAACACCTGACGCCTAAAACCCTACAACCCCGAGGTCCTTGGAGACTGACAGGCAGCGTAAGAGCCTCAGGCAGCAGACGCCGAGGACGGTTTGGGGAGGGTCCATGCAAGGGTTGCCGGGTTTAGGGAACTAAACCTTACACCCTAAAAAGTTCATGGTTTAGGAAGAATAAAACCCTAAACCCTATAAAGTTTATATAGTGGGGTTTAGGATGAAAAAGTAAGGTCCAGGGACCAGGCAGGTAGGGTTACAGGCAGCACAGCTTGCCTAGTAATTAAAGTGGATTGCAGCCTGTGATCACTCAACCGTTGCGATTTGATTTGTGCAGTTTGCTTTGGGCGCACGGCTTCCCCAGTAGAACAGTGCGGCGCCTAAGTCAGGTAGTTGGAGCCATCCTAAACCGTTTCTAACTACCCATGAATGAGCACTCTCCTGAACCCGAAAGCCTTAACGCCGAGGTAACCCATAAAAGTCGACCCTCCCTTCATCCTTAAGCCTTGAACGCAGTGCTGAACAGATCCCTGCTTTCCAGGAACCGCAGCGACTCCAGCGATTCTGCTGCAAAAGCCAAGCCTGTCTCTTGGCTTACGGGTTTTGAGCTTCAGCCTTTAAGACTTATTGGGCGCGAACCGAA